TGACAACTATGCTTTCCACAAATGCAGGAGGATTTCTTTCCTGCCAATGCAACAATTTAGAAGCTGCAGTAGTTGATATTAATGGCCTGTTTATTTGCTAGGAGTTTAATTCTTGAGAGTTGCAAATCCTAAAGAGTTCAAACTCTTCTTGAAAAAAGTATTTGTAGCGATCCCGATTTCGATCCTTCTTCCATATTTTGCCACTTTGACTAGGCCGGTCGGGGATCGAGCTGCTCGGTCAGCTCGCGGGGGTCCAGGAGGCAACGCCCCTTGACGGGTCCGAGGGCAGCGCCCTAGCGGAGTCGAGGGCCAGCGCCCCCAAAGCAAAAATGCAAAATGCATTCGAATTCGAGAATGGGATATGCTAGATGTTATTAGCAAGTTTGATTTGCACTTGGGTGAGTCTGGAGAGAGTGCTACATTGTTTACTTTGAATGCTCAACCTACCTTGGTTAGTAAGGTCATAGAGGCACAACGAGGACAACATGATGTGGAATCAATCTGTGTTAAGATTTCCAATGAGAAGGAAGAGAAAGGTTTGAACGTTCACTCGGATATGAGTGTATGTTACCTAGACCGTTTGTTTGTACCAGAATCTTGTAGAGAAGAAGTACTTCGGGAGTTCCATCACTCACGCCTTGCAGTGCACCTGGGAGGCACTAAAATGTATCATGATCTTACTTGTTAGTTTTGGTGGAGAGGTATGAAACGGGATGTCTCTTTATTTGTATCGCAGTGCCTTATTTGTCAACAAGTGAAGGCCGAACACCAAAGAACAGCGGGTTTGTTACAACCCTTACCGATAGCCGAGTGGAAATGAAAGCGTGTTACCATGGATTTTGTAGTTGGGCTTCCTAGAACACAACGAGGCAATGATGCCATTTGGGTGATTGTTGATAGGTTGACTAAGTCTATACATTTCATTCCGATGTGCACTAGCGACTCAGTTGAACGCTTGGTAGAGTTGTACATTAGAGAGATAGTTCGACTTCATGGAGTCCCCGTGACTATTGTGTCGGATAGGGATCCTCGTTTTACTACCCGGTTATGGCAAAGCCTTCAAGAGGCGTTGGGAACTAAGTTTACTCTTAGCACTGCTTATCATCCTCAAACCGATGGACAGTCAGAACGTACCATTCAGATTTTGGAGGACATGCTTAGAGCTTGTGTCCTTGATTTTAAAGGGCCTTGGGAAAGGCACTTACCATTGATTGAGTTTGCGTACAACAATAGTTACCAAGCTAGTATTGGGATGGAACCATTTGAGGCATTGTATGGCCGACCTTGTAGATCACCGGTTTGTTGGGCCGAAGTGGGTGATGCACCATTACTGGGTCCGGAAATTGTTAGAGAGACAACTGAGAAAGTTGTTCTCATTCGAAAGAGGCTAGCTACGGCCCAAAGCCGACAAAAGAGTTATGTCGATAAGAGGAGATGACCTTTATCTTTTGAAGTTGGTGACCATGTGTTTCTAAAAATCTCACCAAGGTGGGGTTTGATGAGATTTGGTAAGAGTGTTAAATTATCTCCAAGGTTTATTAGGCCTTTTGAGATCTTAGAGTGAATTAGGGAAGTGGCATACCGGTTAGCTTTACCGCCACAACTTTCGGGAGTTCACAACGTATTTCATGTATTTATGCTTAGGAAGTATGAACCTGACCCTTCTCATGTTCTTGATTGGGTTGACTTAGAGGTACATGAGGCTGCCTCTTACAAAGAACGACCGGTTCAAATATTAGATACCCGGGAGCAAGTGCTACAGGGAAAAACTATACCGTTGGTAAAGGTGTTGTGGAGACACCATGCGGTTGAAGAAGCGACGTGGGAACGGGAGGTGGAAGTCCGCTCCAAATATCCGGATTTGTTTGAAAATGCTTAAGTTGCTTTTGTTTGTAATATTCCCTAGTGTTAAGGGAAACGTAATGAAAGTTGTTAACCACACGTTGATATGTGCGTTGTTGTTTTAAGCATAAGGTTGTTGAGAGTTGCGATTACTTTTTAGGAAATTTCATGTTTAAGCATATTTGGGAGGTTGTTCTTAATGAGATAACCATGGTGGAAATGGTGGAATTTGGTTGAGAGTTAGTATTGTGATTTGAAAATGAAATAGCGTGGCTTTGATCGCTAGAAACCCCTTTGTTTGGGTAGTTTGATTTGAAATTTCGGGGACGAAATTCTTTAAGGGGGGAAGGTTGTAGCAATCCCAGTTTCGATCATACTTTTATGTTTTGCCACTTCGACTGGGCCGGTCCGAGGTCAGCGCCCTGACGGGGTCAAGTGACAGCACCCCCGAAGAAAAATGCAAAATGCATTCGAAGTTGCTTGTCCACTCAAGCGGCCGTTTATGCGCTCGAGCGGAGAATGTTTGGTTTCAGAAGTTTGACCTGTCTGCAAAAGTACTGGGTTAGTGTATTTGACGCTCGAGCGTGGCTTTCCATGCTCGAGTGGTCCATGTTATATCAGTTCGTGAATCTGATATTTCATATCACTTTTTCAGTCCTCTCTCTCTCTCTCTAAAACTCTCAAGAATTCTAGATCGAGAGCTTTTCTCTCTAGAAGTCATTTTCTCTCTTTGATTTCTCCAAATCCATTGGGATTTAGGCCTAAGTTCTTCACAAAAGTTGGTTATCATCTCGGGGGCTTCATTGTGTGCGGTGAAGATCGAGTTTCGACACTATTGATTTTGGGGGTTTCATCTCATTTCTTCTTCAAAACTTGAGGTAGGGATTTTCTTAGAGCTATATATATAATTTTGCAAGATCTATATGATTTTCAAAATCATCTTTCGATAGCTTTGAAAATTGATATTGATTCAAGAAGTTGAGTGCTTTTGAAAGTGGGTTTGTCTCTAGTTCTTTTAAAATGATCTTATGGGTTTTGATCTTCGTTGATTGAAGAAAAGATGATTTTGGAAAGTTTTCTTTCAAAAGATTTGAGTTGTATAGTTTTGGCGAGAAAACCTAGAATTTGGAGATTTTTTAAAAAGAGACTGAAAATCCATGAATGTTATTGTTGTATTTATTTTGTGTGTCAAAATAAATGGATGTTTGGAAAATTTCTTATTCATATTTATATAAATGATGAATTCAGGGAATACAAGAATTGTGGTTCATTTTGGAAATTATTATTCAAAACGTTGAAATAGTCTTGAAATGACTAATTGTTGAGGATACTTGAGAAGAGGGAATTGTGTTATTCCTTGGATGATGAATTGGAATAAAATTATTTATATTCATGTTGTGTCATTGGCATAACAATTCATTTGATTACATTAAACTTTGAAAGTTGATTTGAAAACTTGCATTGAGAAAAGAATGTTGAGAAACAAGTTTTGATGAAATGGTTTTGGGTAAATACATTGGTAAGTCTTGATAGGTGGTGTAGATGATATTGAATAAGTTGGCCTGAGAGTCTGGGGTGAAAGACCGAAAACCCACGCGGATTAGTGTCGAGCCTTCCGGTTAATACCGATAAAAATGACAATTTGGTAGTACTTGTATAGTCTACTTGTAGACACCGACCTAGGGATTACCAGAGTCATATTTACGGCCCTTGAAATAAATTGTTAAGTTTTGAACAATTGAAATTGCATGACATCATTGAGCATGATGGTTTTCAAAAGATGAAAATGTGATTTATTTTCAAAAAGAGGCATAGCATGGCATGTGCATTTCATCTCTTGAGACTTGTATAAAATGTATATACTTTGTTAAGGATTTCCTACTGGGCTTTATGCTCACCCCTACATGATTTTTGTCGAGGAAAAGATGTGGTGATGCCGCCTAACTAAAGGCGAGGAAATGTGTGTTGAGAGTACGAGACTCTCATTTTGCTGTGACTCTATGTGTAAGCCAAGGGGTATATGTGTGGGATTTGAATAACCGTTTTGTGTAACCAGGCTCAAGCCTTGGAAAGCTGTAAACCCTTGGGGGTATTTATTTGTTTATTTACTTGTTGTTGGATTAATGTATTGTTGCATGAAGAACTATTGTATCATGTAATGTAAGTTTGGAGATTTATATTCGGTTTTCCTTGAAAGAGCTATGATTGTTGTATTATCATTTGGGCTAGAAATTTGGGGTGTTACAGAGGTGGTTGCTACACTTATTTCTCATGAGGCAATGAAGAAAAAGGAAAGCAGCAAGCACCCAGAAGGAAATGTCGTGGTTGCATCAGAAAATGATCAAGGTAGAGGTAGGTCCAATGATAGATGGGGTAGATACAAATCAAGATGACGTTCGTAATCAAGGCTAGGCCACAGGAGAAAGTGCTATTACTGTGATCAGGAGGATCACCTCATCAAAGACTGTGCAAAGCTCAAGGAGAACAAAGCAAACAAGGAACATGCGAGCTCATCAAATGTCGTTACTGTAGTGAATGCTAAGGATGATTATGCATTCATAGTTTCGTCAAGTATGACGAAACTTGATTGGATTTTAGATTCTGGAAGTACATACTGGAAGTACATACCATATATGCATGGACATGAGACTTTTTTCCACCTACTAAGCAAAGGATGGAGGTATTGTTTGGGTGGCTAACAACACTATAAGTAAGATTGTTGGCATGGAAACAGTACGGCTCCTAATGGAAGATGGAAAAATTTTCATGTTAGATGGAGTCCAACATGCGCCATGGCGGAAGAAAAATCAAATTTCCTTAAGTATGCTAAATTTGAAGGGTTACAGTTTCTCATCTAGTAAAGAAAATCTCAAAGTTATCCATGGAGATACGGTGATGCTGCATGGACGACTAGAGGGGAATTTGTACAGACTTGTTGAAGAGGTTGTGACAGAAGGAGCTATTGTCACTTACTGAGCAAGAAATACAAGACACGTGCCTAAAGGACATAAGGCACAACAGGCATGGCAACCAAAGTGTACAATAACACATGGAGGCAGTTCAAAGGTGCACAAAACAGAGCCATTGTAGCCAATTTTGAAGAAAGGTCAGAGCAAAGAGACTAAGACAGCAAAGCACGTCCTACGGAAGAAAAGAGTTTATTTTGCTCCTGAATTAGAGACATATTGCGATCTCTCCAAGACTGCATGGAATGGAGAGATGCAATCACAAAGAGTTGCAAAGTAAGCTTTGCATGGTACCCCAGTGAGCAGGTGCAGGGCACTCCAGGCAAGGGGTGCTATTGTCGTTCACCCAACATGGGTGAAGGGGTTGATTTGTTGAGTTCACCCATGTGGATTGAGGTAGCCACCATTGTTGACATTGGTTGGCACAAATGTAAAGAAGCCACCGATTGTTGATAATTGTGAGAGAGAAGCTAGGGAGACAAGCTGTCATAGGAAGGTGGCAAGACATACCTTCACATGGGAGAGGTATGGGCTGTTGTATTCAACTCCCTCTATATATTTGAGTTAACTTGTAAGATGAAAAATATACAAGAAAGGAATAACATAAGTGATTTACAAGAGAGTGTATATCTTTGTAAGAGTGAGAGAGAAACCAGAGAGTGCAAGGAAGTAGAGAGTGTGTGAGTTGAGTGAGAGTGTCTCTTCCTTTGTGTAATCTCTATTTGTTTTAGTGACAATCTCTGGTTCTCTCCGTGGACGTAGGCATTGAGGCTAAACCACGTAAATCTTGTGTCCATTATTGTGTGTTTGATTTCTGGTAGTTCATGGGTTAGCCTTAAAACCCAACAAGAATGTCAAAGTAATAATATGAAAGCTGTACATTATACATATTCCCAATTTTAGCAATGGAAAGCATAGCCATATATTGATTCTATGACTAATAGTTGACTGGCTACAGACTAGGTCTTAAGGTAACCATGCTAAATTCTTCATCTTCAAAATGGATAGATCAGTACCTATTTAACATTTCTTCAATGATAGCGAACTTATATTTTGTTTGAAACTTTAAATTTTCATCCTAGAATAGGCATATGTCAAAGTAAAAGAAAGGTAAAGAGAATTTGTTACCTGGAGGTACATATCCAATGGATCCCCTTATTTCAATTGAACTACTTTGATTAGGAATGGTAAGCTCTAGGAAAAATCTAGCTAGGCCAAAATCTCCAACATGGGCAACCTTGTCATGATCAAGAAGGATATTACTCGACATCAAATCACAATGAATGATCGGTGTATTGCATTGGTGATAAAGATAATCAAGTGCACAAGCCACATCTATGGCAATGTTTATTCTTTCTAGAAGGTTAAGTCTCTGGTGCTCATTTTGCCCATTATTAGTTTTTGGACTTGAATGCAGCCATCCCTCTAGACTCCCATTAGGCATCAACTCATAAACTAGAGCTTTAAACTCATTTCCTTGAAAATCAACACCAGAACAAGAAGTTATGATCCTAACCAGGTTTCGGTGTCAAATATTTCTCAAAGCTTTGCACTCTGCCATGAAACTCTTTGCAGCTCCATGGTTTTGAAGGTTAAGTACTTTGAAAGTAACGACAAACTCCCCATCTTGATCAAGAATCCCTTTATATATCTAACCAAAACTACCAAAACCAATTAGATTCGTGGAAGAGAAACCATATGTTGCTTTGAAGAGTTTTTCATAAAAGATTTTCAAGAACTATTCTTTCAACAATGGAAATGTATTATGAGTTGTTCTTTTCTTCTTGGAGCACTAAATTATAAAGAGAGACACTAGGGTTCCTCCTATAAGTACAAAAGCTACTGTAATTGGTAATATATGTAAAAGAGGCATCTTATGCTTTGATTTTTGGGTGATGCAGTTGGGTAATTGTCTAGATACAGAACTGGAAGATTACTCAAGAGATTACTGATGGATTTTGGAAACTTGCAGCCAAAATAATTGATGTTCACACCCAAAAACTGTAAATTGGTGGCATTGATCAAAGAAGAGATAAAGTTCATGTCATCAGCTTCCTCGGAACCAAGTTGATTGCTTGTAAGGATTAACCAATTGAGGTTATGGAGCCGCGCTAAATTAGGAACCTTTCTAGTAAATTTGTTTTGAACCATTTCTAGAAGGTGGAGTTTAGATGCATTCGTTATTGAAACCGGAATTGATCCAGTAAAATGGTTATTAGCAATGTTGAAGTGTTTAAGATTGGGAAGAGTGATGCCCAAGTCCCAGGGAAGACTTCCCTGAATTTGGTTCATAGAGACATCAAATAATATGAGAGAAAAGAGGTTGAAGAGCGAATGAGGAATGGTGCTAGACAAGTTGTTTGCGCCAAGTGCAAGCTGCTGAAGATTCTTCAATCGACCAAAACCATCTGGAATGCTACCATCAAAGTAGTTGTAGGCTAAAGACAATCTGCGAAAAGATGACAAATTTGCAAAAGGAGAGATACTCCCCGTAAGATTGTTCTTGTATATCATTACTATCACAAGCTTTGACAAGAATCCAAGCTCCACAAGAACTTCTCCTACCAACCCATTGTTAGAAAAATCGATGAAAATGAGGTTAGCGCAACAAGATATATTTACAGGAATTCGGCCACCAATTGAGTTGTTGTTTAGCTGCAAAATCTACAGCCTTGGCAAATGGCCAATTTTCCGGGGAATTTCATTACCAAACCTATTGTTCTGAAGCAGTAATTCCCTCAGAAATCTTAAATGCCCAAGGTGTGGTGATATCGATCCCACCAATTCCCAGGATTGTACATCCAGGGCAGTGACCCTCTGATGCCTGCGGCCACACGTAACGTTTCACCATTGGCAGAAGTGGATAGAGTCATTCTAGGAGCTCAAAACATGCAATGGATCCTTAACTATTTTGGCCTAAAATCGATGAAAATGAGGTTAGCGCAACAAGATATATTTACAGGAATTCGGCCACCAATTGAGTTGTTGTTTAGCTGCAAAATCTACAGCCTTGGCAAATGGCCAATTTTCCGGGGAATTTCATTACCAAACCTATTGTTCTGAAGCAGTAATTCCCTCAGAAATCTTAAATGCCCAAGGTGTGGTGATATCGATCCCACCAGTTCCCAGGATTGTACGTCCAGGGCAGTGACCCCCTGACGCCTGCGGCCACACGTAACGCTTCACCATTGGCAGAAGTGGATAGAGTCATTCTAGGAGCTCAAAACGTGCAATGGATCCTTAACTATTTTGGCCTTAATTGCTAGAAATAAAAGTTGGTCCGTCTTGTTCCCCATTAGCCAGGAGCTAGATGTAGTGGCAGTAAAGCCAGAGTTAAGAATGCTCAAACAAGATAAGAGTATTAGATGAATATGCAAATTGTGTACTAGCCATGACATGCTCAAGCTTAAGCTTGGAAGCCCAATTGAGCGAAGAAATGTATGGCTATGTTTTAGTGAATTACTTTTTATGCCAAGTATATTGCATGGCCGGCTCATGAGCATGCCGGCAAAACGGCCACTTTGACCCTCTAGATTTGGACCCGTTTGTTTTCAGAGGTAGAATGGAGGGGATTGATAGTGATGGGATTAACAGTGAGGGGATTGATAGTGAAAGAATTAAGTAAAATTGTGTTTGTTTTGATGGTAATTGTTAATATTGTTAATATGGAGATTGTTAAATTATTACCTTATAAAAGAAATATAAAATATAAAAAAGATAAAATTATGATTTTTACTTAACAAAAAATACAAAAACATTAAACATTAATGCTAAAAAAAATGCCCAACAAGTAAATAAAAAATAAAAAATAATAAAATAATAAGAAAACCTAATCACATGGGACTAATTTCCTAATACCATTTCCACCTCCTCCATCTCAATCTCAACACCAAGGCCCATCCTAATCCCATGGGATAATGAATCCCTTCTCCATCTCCCAAAACAAACATAACATATAGTGGGTCCCACCTCCATCTCCCAAAACGAACGGGGTCCATTTAGAAATTTTTTTTTTTATAAAATTTAACACAAATTTTTTTTTTATTAGACCTCAATTAAATAGAGAGCTGCAGCAGCAAACTCAAAATCATAATTGTTTTTATTAGTAGAAGACCCCAATTGCTTTTATCAAAATAAGTCCAATGCTTAATAAAATTAATATTAAGCTCAAAAATAAAATTGTTTTTATTAATGGAGAACCCAAAGTTATTGATTTTACTTTATCAAACTTTTCTTCAATCCAATTCACCATTGAAAATTGAACTTTCTTAGGTCTTGATATTCTCTCTAAATGTTTTCATATTTTGAATGATTTCAAGTTCTACTTCAACTGTTTGTTAATTTTACTTAAAAATTAAAATCTCTAGAATTTGAATAGATTGTTGCTTGTTGACTTGTGGATATATTGGATTATTTATTTAATCATACTTTTTAGAAATTATTTGTCTATATATGAAAAAATATAGTAAAGTTAATTCAATCTCAATGAAGAGCTCTTGACTCAATTTTGCAACTAAAAATACAAGAACAATAATGTTTAAGTGATACTGTGATACAACTGGTTCAATTTTTCTTTGATGTTATTACTCTAGATTTATGTGTAGTATTTTCTATGTGCATGTATAAATGGTTAAAACAAAAAATAATAATACTAGATTTTATATTTTTAAATTTTTAATTTTATTTATTTATAATTTGCTCTAATTAATTTTATTTTTTAAGTAATGTATAAAAATATTAACACCCAATATGGACTCTGAATACATGAGACCGGCCTGACGCATTGTAAATGATGGCCATGCAAAATGTTGAGAATTAATCAATAAGATATGTCATCATGAGAATCATATTAGAATCACATTGTAAATGATGACCATGCAAAATGTTGAGAATTAATCAAAGATATGTCATCATGTGAATCATATTAGAATCATTTGAAGTTTGAGCATTGAATTATCAAAATCAATCTACAGCCTCCAAATGTCAACAAATCATATATTTAAGTCAACAATATATTATGTTAGCCATGCCACTGCTCATGTCATGGAAGTAGGTACTTTATGGTTTCAATGCATATCTCATGTGGCACTTATTAAATTACTCTAGGAACTTCTTTAATTGTGTACTATCATATCACCTGTATTATGCACGAATTGTATTTATAATTATCTATATATGTGATTTGGGATTTTTAAATATATTTTTTTTTAAATGCCTTATTTTTTTTCCTTTTTTGTATTATATTAAAGGTTAATATTTTGATAATAATCATATGTGTTAAACTTTTCAAAGAATTAAATGTCTTTTTTTTTTTTATATTATATTGAAGTTTAATATTTTGATAATAATGATATGTGTTGGATTTTTAAAGAAATTTTTTTTATGATTTTTCTTAATGCATTAAAGTGTTATTATGAGGGATAATAATTATATGTGTTGGGACTTTTCAAGAAATTCAAATGTGTTGAATTTCAAAGAAATATATGTGAATTGCGATTTTTAAATATCTTTTTTTTAAATGCCTTCTTTTTTTTCCTTTTTTTTATATTATATTAAAGTTTAATATTTTGATAATAATCATATGTGTTAAACTTTTCAAGAAATTAAATGTCTTTTTTTTATTATATTATATTAAAGTTTAATATTTTGATAATAATTGTATGTGTTGGACTTTTAAAGAAAAAATTTTTATGCTTGTTCTTAATGCATTAAAGTGTTATTATGAAGGATAATAATTATATGTGTTGGATTTCAAAGAATGTTTTTATGCTTGTTCTTAATGCATTAAAGTGTTATTATGAGGGTTAGACTTGAGGGTTGGGAGAAGTTAATAAATGTTAAGCTTATTTTTTTTTTAATCAAAAAAATAAGAAATTTAAATTGAGAGATTGGAACTCCCACAAAACTTGGAGTTAAAAACTCCTTTTTGCTTAATATATAGTGTGGATTAGCAAATGGAGATGCTGCCGTATGTTACACTACTGCGTTATTATACACCAACACTATTACATGGCAGCGTTTTAGTTATTGCTTTAAAAATAAAAATAAATCATTTGAATTGAGTTTATTTTGGGAAAATAAAAATAAAAATAAGGGAAAAAACTTACGCGATTTTTTGAATTTACACGAATTTATATTCAATTTACATATTTTTTTGAAATCACTTATGTAAATTCGTAAAAACTTAATTTTGTGTTAAAGTTACACACAGTGTGCATTGCACACCAGAGAATTTTCCCTAATTCTTTAGATAATGTAATACATAATTTATGTTAGTAAAAACAGCAAATTTGATTTATACCCTTATACTTTTACACGATTTTCAATGACCCTCCCAGATTTTTAGTATTTTCAATTTTACCCCCATACTATGTAAATTTCTATCAATTTCACCCTTCCGTCTATTTCCGTTGAACGAAATGGGTGACGTGGGCCCTTATACTTTTGGATGGAGGGTAAATTAAGGCTTTCCTACCAAAACCTAACCTTCTCCTGTATTCCCTTCAACCTACAAAAATAGAGAACACAGCAAAATATAAGAAAAAAACAGAGCATCAATGAAATCCGCGGGAGAGAAGAAATGCTATGTGTGTGTGTTTTGGTGCCTTTTCTTTTCAGTTTTTAGTTCAAGGATGGACACACAATGAAATGAAGAATGTAACTTTGGTGCCTTTACTGTATTGTGTTGCCCAATTTGAATTTGGAGTGACAATTATGGTCACAAATTGTGTCCCAACTTCTGTGTGTTTCCTTTGTCTATGTCAGAGTCACCAAACACAAAATAATAGACACAACATTAATAGGTCACCAAACACACAATTTTCATCTCAAAATCATATTTTCCCGTTAGCAACAGTTCACCTATTGCATATGACTCATAAATAGGATATAGACTCCATTCATTCTTACACTAGCGTACAACTTGTAACTTTTCATTACAAACCATATTCCTACAACCAACCATAACAAAACCAAGCAAATCCATAATTTCCTCTCTTTTCCAGTCCTTCTCTTCAGTTGTGCTTCCATCTTATTCAACTTCTTCAACAAACCAGGAATGATCTGCACTGTCTGATCGCACATGGGTGGGTCTACCCAGGTAAAATGATTGCAACCATTGTTAGGGAAACTAAGAAATCTCCTCCCGAGATTTGTGTCGGTCCATGATGTGTGTATCAGCCTTCTTCTTCCACAAACGTTGCAAAAAATCTCGTCCACGCCACTTGCATTCCATCTCCCTTGATTTCTTGAGCTTCGATTGTTTCTCATTTCTTCTCTCCCACTGATTTCATTGATGCTCTATTTTTTTCTTCTATTTTGTTGTGGTCTCTATTTTGGTAGGTTGAAGGGAATATAAGGGGTCTTGGCAGGAAAGCCTTAATTTTCCCTCCATCCAAAAGTATAGGGGACCACATCACCTATTTCGTCAACTTCCTTAATGGAAATAGATGGTAGGGGTGAAATAGATAGTAATTTACATAGTATGGTGGTAAAATTGAAAATTCTAAAAGTCT